TATATATATATATATATATATATATATATATATATATATATATATAAGAGTTAATTATGTTATAGAAAATCACAATTTTGTTGAAAGTACGGAGGGAAGAATTAATGTGAGGCAAGAAGGGAGTCAAAGAATCATAAGGTGGTGATCGAATATGTTGACACGTTTTGGTAGGTGGCTTGATCTCGACCATAGGAATCGTCAAAGCCATCATCACACGTGTTAGAAATGTAATTGTAGGACCAATCAAATTCCTTCACGTGGATTTCTAAGCGTGTCGGGAAGAGAGAGACTTCACCTCATCTTTACTGGCACTTGACTAAATCTATAGAAAGAAAGAAGCAGAGAATTTAGACCAAGAAAAGAAGAGAAGCGAGAGAGAGAGAGAGAGAGAAAGCAAGTGGACTTTGAGGAGTCTAGTGAGGAAGCTATTGCCAAGGCTCACCCAACCTCTCCACATCCTTCCTTGTGGGCCAACTTGGCGGAAAGCTAATTTTGTATTCTAGCAAACACTACACTTCATCAAACCCATGGCAGGGTGAGTGCACTGATAAGGAACCTTCGAGAAAGATGTCTCTACCAAATTAACTTTTCAAAATTGAGAGCTCGAAAGATTTTTTTTTTTTTTAACACAAAGTAAATTATGAAGATTTGAACCAAAAATTCTACTATCAATAGTCAAAATTTTCCCGGATAAAGTTTATAATTATCAAACCTTTGATAAGTAAACACGTCGTATTTACTTACTATATAGTTCGAAGATTTAGAGCATCGACTAATAAGTTTTTCAAGAAACCATATAAGATTAGATGGTAAAGACTTTTATCATTTATTAAAATCTTCGGAAAAAAAAAAGAATGAACGAATATCATCAAGGAAAGAATGAAAGATTAGTGACATGAAGACATGCAATGCAATGATGCATATAAAAATGAGTGCAAGCACTTACTTTCCCTGACATAATTATTGCAAGCACTTTTGAGAGACTGTTTAACTTATAATCTTAATCAATGCACATTATAAAAACATGCTAGAGGAAGTTTAGATGAGCACATATGAAGCTTTTTGCATATAATAATCCTCTCAGTGGTGATTGTTGTGATTAGGCACTTTGTGTTGCAACAGCTTTGACAAGGAGACATACTCAACCCCTGAAACCAGGCAACATGCTGTGGACATGCCAACCCCATTTTGTCCCAAAAGCTGAGCTATGGAATTAAGAGGAATGAATGCCAATTATACCAAATCTAAGTGGCTTGCCAACATAGCACATTGGGGATCCTCCATGGAGGGGACACAAGTGCATGACAAGCAGCTTTGGCAAAGGCAGTGTGTAGGTTCAACACAGCTCTAAAGAAGGGTTATAATCAGAACTCAATGGCAAGACAAGGACATGGAGATGGCCACAGCTCATAAGTCTGGACATGCATCAGATGGGCACACAACCTCCTCAGGAGACACTCACATGGAACACCAAATCCATGGTTTTTTTTATGTGGTGGCTAATGAAAGGAGAGGATTGTTTCTAGAGCAGATAAAGATGACCCAGCTATGAATGTGTCCTCTTGAAGCTGTAGCCCTGCACATTGTTTCTGACCCCACCCCCCCTCAACCCTCAAGCCACTGATGCAGCAGAGGTGAATCCATTGCCTTCCAAGCTGCAAGCCTGCAGCACACAAACATGGGGGGCTCAATTCAGAGACATCAGCATGTGTTTCTGTCCTGATGAGTCCAAGAACACCTTACTTAATAAAGCTAAATTACAGCAAGGTTTGGTGTATCAGCTTCAGCTGGCAGTTTCAGCAAGAAATTTCTAGCATTGTAGATTTAAGTTTTTTTGGTTTCCATCAAGCATATAAAAAATAAAAAAGTAAAGAAAAAGACTTTTTAGGTGGATATTATAGATTCAAATTCTAGAAATGGTTTATATATGATTTCATTAAAGGGTCAGTATGAAATTGTCAATAAAACTAAATGAGAATTGTTAGTTTGGTCCACAATTTTCCTATGAAGTAATACTAATTTTCTGAGTGATCAGAGAAAATTTAAATCTAGATACCTCTCCTGAGTTATTTCTTACAGAATTTGCTTTTGATGCAGCAAATAGTGGGAGAAAAAGGATTGTTCCAAGCAACACACAGCTAGAAAGACATGCTGTAAGAATATTAGCAGAAGATGCAACTTGACCACTTCTCATCTGAAACTATAACAACTACAACTTGCCCTAAGCTCACTAGGTTTTCACACAACAAGGTTAGGAAGAGTTCAAGGTCTAGCAGAAGATGCAACTTGACCACTTCTTATCTGAAACTATAACAACTACAACTTTCCCTAGGCTCACTAGGTTTTCATACATCAAGGTTAGGATGAACTCTTCCTATGGAGCATGAAATCCGATGACATGTTAATTAACATCCAATACATTCTTGCATCTAGCTATCTTTCCTGTGCTCTAACCTAGCGAAATTATCGCCGAAATTTAATTTTGTCTGCTCTAACTAATGAGCCGTTCATCATCCTGTAGCTTCTATGAACAATTGGATAAGTGAGGTCACCACCAGAAAAGATATATTGAGATTCCAGAATGAGATAGGGGAAAGTTGAGGAAGAGATAGTGGCTTCACAGAGATACAAGAAATGATTGGATGCTTGAGAGGGACTGGCATTTGGAACACCATGTGATGTAACATGTTATTGTCAAGGGTATGAAACTGTGGTTGCTTTCATGGCTGTTTTCTTGGAGGAAGTGAACTCCACAGGATGGTGATAAGAAGATTCCCTGGAATTGTGTGTTTCAGGGCCCCTCTTCTTGCCCATCTCATTGTGGACTTTGTTAGGTTGGCTATCAAATTAATGGCCATTAGGGATGATTCTTCCACTAGGGTTGTATCTAATTGTCTCTTGCTTTCACTAGGTAGGGTTGGATGAGAGACAAACACTGTTTCCACTGGTCGGATGATGCAATAGTTAGGTCATTCTCAGCTTGACATGCTGTCCTTTTCTTCCATTTGCAAGTTCAGTGAATTATCTATTGATCTATACAATGTTAATGTGTGAAATAATATGGAGTAGGTTGCAGATGCAAGTCATGCTTTACCAAGATATAGATGCATGACATATGCATATATGACTTGAATGATGCTCCAACTCATGAACATTACATCATTAGGGAGTGTTTTGAAATGACTATGAACTAATCTTATGATAGTTTATCATACATCCATGTGTTTCTTGGATCCTAGGATTTTTTTTTCCCCAGTATTAGAGATAATGTTCAACTTGGAGCCTCAGAATAGGCATTCTCAACTCTCAAGTGGAAGAATTAAGGTTCAACCTTCCAGAATTATACTACCTCAAGTCAAGAAAGACTCAAAAAGTAAAAACAACCCCCTATAAGAAGATGTATTGTATCAGTACTGTGAATGGTGTTGATGACATGACCAAGGGAAGATGAAAACAATGATAGGGAAAAAAAATATCAATATTTTTTTGTATATATATGCCCGAAAATTTTGTCCAAACATTTGTCATTTTGCACCACAAAATCCAAAGAAATATATGATGATTAACATTGGTGGCATCTCGCCTTCCGCCACCCTTGACATGAGAATTAAAGTGATAATGACTGTGTTCTAACTTCTAACCAGTGATTAAACTTAGGTAGCAATTGGCCAAGCACGCCAACTGGGATGGCCCTAAACAAAAGAATCTTTCAGAAGAAACATCAGCATATGGTCAAGCTGCAGTTTGGTGCTAATCTCCAGTGGATCAATCAAAGGTTCTTCTGGAAATGACTTCACCAAGTGACAAGCGACAAAATCCAAGTTGGATGGGTGCACTAGTTAGGAAGCCAAGAAAATTAATCTATTATAGAAGAACATACCTGGACATACCTCACTCTTCTCCCACTTAGAGTGAGCAGTAGCACACGTCAAAGCTGCATGAGAGAAAAAAGAAAACACTGTCAAAGCTGGAACTATATTGAATGACTCACAGGGCGAGACAGTGACTTTAACCAGATAGTACATGTACCTTGCCGTAATGTAGGCAGCCAATGGAAAACTACCTCTTCTGATGACCAATACAAGACAAAAGCAAGAGTTCATCTAATGATAGTACCAAAGTTACATGCTCATGAGAGGCCACCATTTTCTTCAACAAGATATTGCACATGTCTGGACGAGTTGGAAGAAGTGTGGCCTGACGTTACCCACTCCATTCTGTCTGGGTGTACTTGCTGAGGAGGAAGATGAGTTTGACAATCCTTTCAAGAAAACATAAAGAGAGAGATCACGCTCATTGACACAATCTAGACAGACTCCACTCACTACTTGCAGGCAAGTGCAAGGTGATGGCTGAGTCACATTACAGCCATAAAAGGTCAACGCCCACCATCATGAAGTTACCACCCACCACCTCAAGGGCAGTGCACGGAGAAAAACCAATCTATCCCTAGTTCCCCCACCGAGGAGTTTGATTCTAGGGAAGGAAAAGCTACTATCTTCCGTGCAAAGGCTAGTGGAAGGTACATTGTAAGTGCTAGACCAACTAAAGATAAAGGATGACATATTGTGCATCCAACAGCTCTTATGATAAGGATCTGCACATATGCAGTGATAAGATGCTCAAACTAGGTGAGACGAGAATCCATGAAACTTTTGATCACAAATAGTTTTGAACAACAAACAGTGAATAAAGTAATACAAATGCAGTAACAAGGAAATGAAGCATAACGATTCCTTCATATTATGCATTACAAAGTTTGAAAACCTTCCGTCCAAAGCTCTTGGTCAGAAAACGGTGTGCCACAAAGTTCTGTGAACAAAAAGGTAAATTTCAGGCTCTGTTGGTACATATAAAAGGTGAAGAGCAAAAGGTACATTCAACATTACTGAAGTAAGAATTACAAAGATATTGCAGAACTATGAAAGAATATGTAACGAAGAACTGTTTTATAAGCTCATTAGATATGGCTGCTGAATTATAAATATGATTTGCACTTTTAGGCTATTCCTCATGTCCATATAGGACAGTGAAAACTCATAGCTGGACATTGTTACCCGTTGCCACGAAATGCATCTTCATGAAAGTGTTACTAGATTTACACCATCAGTTATTCCATGTGTGAGTTGAACACGGAACCCACAAAACCCTCGGAATTTGATATGTGAATATATTTGAAAGTTGAAACATGGACAAATTGGAACTATTTGTTAGGGGTGAACTAATGTAAATCTAGTTTTGTTTGGTTTCTTATAATTTGATATTTCTATTTGTCCCTTCCTTGCATATGGAGGAAGAAGACATTTATTTGCTCTTCAGAACTTATCAATGAATACAACCTTCTGGTCTTTCAATTTATGTCCAACTAGAGTAAGAAAAGCTTTTGTTCACTGGTGTTTAAACTAAAAATTAATAAGTGTTAGTTCTCATTAAAACAAAGGATTCACCTTTACATACATACATACATACATACATACATACATACATACATACATACATACATATGTATATATATACATACATACATATGTATATATATACATACATACATATGTATATATATATGGACAATATTAAAATTCTATGATCTAGTAGTACTAGTTGGGTCATTACAAGTTATTGTTGTCATATGATCGAGTAATATCATAGCTATACTTATTTAGTAAAAACTCTAATTCAATTTCACTACTTTAGTGATCATCGGAATATTTCTTGAAACAAGCAGGGACTTGCAGTTCTCCATGTATCAAGTAAAGTACTAAATATGTTAAAGAAGCCACTATAAAATAAAGAGTGCAATTGTTAGGATAGGATCTCCACGTGATAAAATCTTCTCTTCTTTGCAGGAGAGAAGAATCTCCATTTCGCAAGACTCAGGCCAACCTCGATGGGCTAAGCCATACAGTTTCAGGTTGCTGCATAATTATCACTTGACTTTTGAAGTTTGAATAGTACATTACCACGAATTCTTGTAACAGAAATCCAAAGAATATGTTCTAAGATCATGAATAGAATATTTTCACGCAATGTATCTGAAATATTTTAGTTAAACTATATCTCCAAACAATTTAGAATATAAAACTTAATCAGGGCAATATTAGTTTATTGGATAATGCAACGCAGAAGTAATGTTAAGAGATCATGGCTGAAGTTGTATGGTCAACTGATAACAGTGGTCCTAGGTTTCAGAAAGCTAGTAAGTTGTATTTCTGAAAATTACGCAAATACATACATTATGGTACAAAAGAAGAATGGTACTTCAATTACCATTAGGCATGGCCACAATCACTGGTCTCCCTCTCAATGGTTGCATTCTAATGAAGCTCTTAAACTATTTTCTTACCACTAAAGGCTTGAAATACATTTATCAACTATTTTGCAGAATAGACTTCAAAGTTCCAGATATTTGCAAAGAATAGAACATCATCTTTAAATCCTTTTATAGCTGTCTTTCTGCTGCTAACCAAAGTTCTTGAGCAAAAATCTATTCCATATTGCCCAATATATTGATGATAAAAGAGCACACTTCTAGGTTCTTGGCCAGCATAACACTAGTACTTGAATCCATGCCACCAAACTCCTACTTTATCTCCACTAATAATATTTACTCCATCATGCAAAAGCAATTAATCTAGCTGTCAACTAACTCAATACTTTCTGCAGTTTTGGAACAATGGATCATATGGCATTTTGTTGGGGCTTCTCCAAAATTGCAACATGGTTACCCAACAAAAGTTTCTCTAAGAAAACATCATATGGTTGTTCCAGGGTTAAATAAACTAATAATATAATAACATTTAGAATATGAGAGCAGATTAAGTGACATGGATGAGACACCATCATTTGGCACATTTTTTGTTCATGCAAGAAGGAGAGATTAGTTACTGCCAGCACAAGCTTGTGCTTCGCAGCAGTGACACCAATAAGTAAGAAATATATGAGAAACACAAGTATCAATATCACTTTTGAGGGACAGTAAGCCAAAAAGAATATGAAAGGACATACAAAAAACTATCAGTTCACTACAACTTACCTAGACAAGCTCAATATAAGCCATTGGTGCATTATCTCCTCGCCTTGGTAGAGTTCTGATGATTCTTGTATACCCACCATTCCTATCTCCATATCTATCTTGTACCTCAGCAAACAATGCATGAACAATTTGTTTCTCATAAATAAAGCCCAGTGCCTGTCTCCTTTTATGGAGAGAACCATCCTTTGCCAATGTTACCATCTTATCTACATACTTCCTCATCGCACTTGCCCTGGCTCTGGTAGTTTTGATCCTGCCATGCTTCAGCAGCTGCGTCGTAAGACCACGTAGGAGAGCTCGACGCTGATCCGGGGGCCTATTGAGTTTTGGGACACGTTTACCATGTCTCATGGCATAGAATTTGCTTCCATTGCTTATGTTGCTGAACACATGGTCAAAGTTGGCAACCCCTGTACGGTGAATAGAAGGATGTTATACCAATTCACAGCAGAAAATTACAAATGAAATAGAAGGGGAAAAAAAACATATTATTGAAAGCAACAACAATGGTACAAGACTGAAAAAATAGGCAGTAATATGCACGGTCATATGGAAAATATATACTACCAATAAAAAGAAAAGAAAACATTAAAAGTGGCGACAGTGAATTTGTCAGGACTATGTGTTGGGGCCCAGTAAGGCACCTAAGAGGTTGGTCTTAACAACACTAGTGAAAATCAGTGAATTTCTTCTCCATGATCTGGAAGATTAACTAGCTTTATTGAAATTGTTAAACTTAAATAAATGCAACCAATTCAAAATCCAATCTCAAAAGTAGCATTTGTTGCATCCGAAACCAAAAAGAAAAAAATAAAACTCTCAAAGATTTTTAGAATAGGAGACGTAGTTGTTTCTATGCCCATTACAACTAAAATTACTTCTTATCATAAGCATTTCCCACAACACAATTAAGGCTAGTGCAATTGAAATTAAAAGTGAGACCATTAAAATTCCTAGTTTGTGCTTCTTCTGGTAACCAGAATCCCATTTAAGAATTGAAAATGAATACTTTAATAGTTTTTTTATCCAAATCTTTATCTAAAGAGCCTTTTGCAATCAAAACACAAAAGTGCCAGTAAAAGAAATCCAGCTGAAAAAAATAAATTGTAGCAAATGGCACTTAAAGAATGCTTCTAATATCGGAATACTAGAAAATGATAAACCACTAAAAAAGGTCTCTAACAATCTATTCTCGATGCCAAATTAAAAATTTATCAATCAGTGGATTAATCACCAAACATCATAATAGTCCAAGCCCACACAGATGCATATAAATCATGAGTACCAATAGATTCTTAGTTTGTTTGACTAGGCGATCTTGGAAAACAACTGCTCTTTGCAAATAACACTCCATCTGACAGACTCCAAAAATTGGACATTAAGACCAACCTAACCTTGATCAGTCTCAATTACTCCCCTAAAGAAAGTTCTCCAAGAATTTTCATTGACAATCCACGGTCTGGATTATTTTGGCGTATGTTATATAGAATACCTTCGTTTGGTTCTTAAGAAGTTGCATGTTTCTTTATCAAATTCCTTACTGAAAGAATAAGACAAAAGGATATCAACATTAACCATAGCCCTAATCATCTCTGTCAGTTGTAGGACAAAACTAGGCTAACCTGAAATACTGCCCTGCCAAATCAGATTTTGATCGACATCATCAAAACAAAATCTGGATCTAACAGTAAAGAAGAGGAATCTTACTTCAAGATTTTAAAATTTACATGGTGGAGAGATAATTTGGATTCTTGACCAATCTAAACTCTCATTATCTTTAATATGCAGTTCAATGAGTCTAACGATCCTCAAAATTTTACTTATACTTGAAACGTAATAAGAAAATGGAAGAAATGGTATCCGTCCAACTAGGGCTTACGCGTTGACGAAATTTAGTTCGAGATGGAATAAACAGAGCAAGAGCATCATTTACCAATGCCAACAGAGAGGAGAGGAGTCATGGGAGCGAGGCCGGAGAAGGACCGCAGCGACTTTGCCTGTCCGCGACCGGAACTCAGCCGAGCTGAGCAATGGAAGGGCGAAGGGGTCGGAAAGCGAAACGTGGAGAGGCGCGGAGAGGGAGAGGGAGGGAGGGCAGAGCGAAGCGAGGCCATGCTCCATGTCGAGAGAGAAGAGGAAGCCATCGCCATAGGAGCGAGGAGAAGCAGCAGCAGCAGCAGCAGCGGAGATAGCAGAAGATAGAGGAGGCGATCTGTGTTACATCACAGCCTCTTGTTCGCTTGCGACTGGGATGTGGCTCCATCAGGCTATAAGATTCGTGCTTAGACTTGATTTGTATCCTCAAGATTCGTGCTTCACTCCAGTAATGCCTATGTTGGTCATTTAGGAATATGAAAGATCTTTATGATGACAATTATAGTAATTCTTTACCATTTATCCTTTCCTATGTCAATTTCATATATTCTAAACAAAAATTAGAGTTTTAACAACTCAAAAAAACTTAATGGCCAAAAAGAATTCCATCCAATTTTGTTAGATCTTAACCAACTCAATGAACAACACTAAGATAGTGTTTTAAGAATATGATGAGTATATTTATCATTAAATTTAGCTTAATCATTTTATTTAGTAATTAATTTAAATAAATTTGATATATTAATTATCCCATTAGACTCGACTCATTACGATATAGAGCCACCATTGGACTACGTCTCGCATGCACTATGTTACGATTTGATCTGAGTTATACTAGTGGGTATATAGTTGTCAACTTCAATTTGATTATTTTGATTAATGATTAAGATCAAACGAAATTAATTAATCAATTATCCTTAAAATAAATAATTTATTTTTTATTTTTATAAAAAGAAAAATGATTCTTGAACCTCTTTCACATCATCATGCCATGTCATTATTGACGTATCAAATTATATATATGAGTCATGAAAAACAAATCTACTCGTGACAATAAACTAAAAAAAGAACCTAACAATCCACCGAGGATTGGTGTTGTTGGTGACAATGTTTCTTAGGCCTTGAGACTCAGACATTGTAACACAGCCTAAACCTCCATCCCAATAACCCATCATGGTTGTCTTCAAACCAGCAACACAGAGGCTTTTCCCATCTAATGGGGAATTGACATCTCTCATTTTGCCCCTCAGACAGGGAAGCAGCAGTCATCAATCGTCCACAAGAGAGGAGCTGCAGCTTTTCGACTACTCGACCAGCAAGCTTACTACACACTGTATCTGACCATAATAGGTAGTGAATGTCAATGGATATTCATGTGGATTATTACTGTCTCCAGTCAGTTGATTATTGGAATCCTTACTTGACTGCACTGTTACTGGACATTGAATCTCTTTAAGGAAGCTTAAGCTCAAAAGAGAAAAGACCTGACTGCATCGTAAGATTCACTTAACGTCACTGAACATGTTGACCTTTGTGACTTCATATATTTCCACAGCTTCCATCTTATCTCACTCACTGTGTTATCTACCACAAGCAGCAGCTATGTCGGGTGCGAAAATGGCGACCCTCCAGCCATGTAAAGCTACAAGGCTTCTAGCAGATGCGGTCCATGATGACCAGAAAAGCCATTATCAGCTCAGTATCGGTGTACGGCTGAATGATGAGGCTGAACACATCATCGCCCAAAGTGACGGACCTGTTCACTTTCTTGTGGCTTATCTGTGCCACCTCCTCGCCATTGCTGTCCAAAATCTTGCAGTCTCTTCTTCTGAAACAACCCTCGGTCTTGAAATGCGGCAGCGATGATCGGTCGTCTGGACTGTCCATGTACACCTCCGCCTTGTCGCGGCCTTGAAGGATCGATCGCCTTTTCATGGAGAAGACGTGAGTTCTGCACTTTGGATCTAAGCCGTCTTCGCCTTTGAATCCGCTCCACCTGTCGTGCATGCTCAGTATCTGCTTGATGTGTGATTGACATGATTAGAAACAGTCACAATGCGATTCGATACAGAGGTTTACAGCATTCTAAGTATCTGCATTTGTGCATATCTAAGCTTAGTTACTGAGCTTAGCTTCTTAAGAGATTATATTATTATACAATTTATAATTATATAATTATATAAAAATTTAATATAAAATATATCAATTGCATATCTTTCGATACTATTCAGAATACTTATTTTCTAACATAAAAAAAGTTAAAAAAATTTTAAGAAGATTTTAAGTGCTTCGAAAAAAAAAGTAAGACGACGCGAAGATTGACGTTGATTCATGTATGACTACCAATTTCATGAATAAATGATCAAATCTTCTAGTTTTCTTTTTTTTTATAGAGTCTATCCATAAATTTTTAGGTGAAATAATAAAAATGAAATTGTGAGAACCTTTTAGGTCTTCTTTCTAGCAATTAAAGCATACTATAATCAAACTATAATAAGAAGCTTGCTTCTATGTTCTATCTCTATTATACTATAATCATTCGATGTTATTCAGAATACCTTTATCTTAAAAAGGCACAAAAGTTAGACTTTTTGATTCATATATGAATCAAAAACAAACTTTGATTCATATATGACTACCAAAATTTAGATTCAGCTTACAACTGATGAAGAAATGATCAAATCTTTTAGATTTCTACTTTCTAAGTCTACTCTCTAGCAGTCGAACTATGCTTGGGTTTCCTGTTGAGCTGATGGAAGCTTTGTGCTGTGATCTATCTCTACCAAGAGAAAAAGTAGAGAAGGTAAAGCAAACAAAGAGAAGTAGAATCTTCCTACCCGAGGCCTCAAAGCCATGAGTGCCTTCCCATTGGCATCCATGAGCAGCAGCTGCCCTGCAAAACACTTGTGCTTCCTCGAGTAATTGTCGACCCGAAAGGCCAGTCTTCCCTTGCTGTCATAAATCGAGAACCCATCCGTTCCGTGGAAACCCATGCTCGACTTGTTCCATACCGTCCAAATCGATGGACGGGCTGTCGTCGTCGCGAGCTCTTCGTCGTCGTCGGTCATTCTCAGTGTAGGATGAACTCTGGGCATTCTTTCGGCGTCGAGGAGATCTTCTTACGGCGCTGGTTTTATATGCATGAAGAGGTGAGGAAGGGGAGAGTCGACCGAGATTAGCGTGGAGGGAAGCGTCTTTTCTGTGGGTGGAATGGCAAACACAGAGGCCGAGTTATATTTATAGGCTCAGAATCCTTCTTTTAGGGTTAACATACACTGTATCAGTGGGAGTTACAGAGGATCTGAAGTCTCTGATGACATGACTGTCCTCCTGTCTTTGTTCTGCGGAATATGATCGAGTGCTGCCGGGAATGAGATTCCAGCAGTGTTGCTTTGGCCGAAAGCTCAAAAGCACGGAATCTTAATCCGGCCACCTCGTGCCGTTCGTGGTTTGCTGAACTGAGGCTAAGTGTTAGATTATGTGATTCTGTATAATTAAATAAGATATATTATGAATATGATTGAATTCTGATTACAGTTATCGATTAATAGAAAGAAATAAATTACTTAGTTTAGAGTTTAGAGTGTTGTTACAATATTTTCTATAATAGGAGTTTTACTTGCACTCACATTCTTTTCATTATAGTATACAAGCGCAGGGCTTTAGGCAATAAGAGTTGAGTCTAGATTCCATTCGAAGTTCCCCGTCATCAAATTCGAATCCTTCTGCTTTCGATGGCGCCGAATGAAGGGTGGAAAGGTCGGTTCATCGATATGATCTCTTAGGAGATACACAGATAACAGGTATTCTCTTAATTACTTATTCTAAACCTCTCTAGCAATATTGTCAATCACGTTTTTATTACTATATTTTGAAGTCTTAGAAATGCAAAATATCACTTGTCATAACTTTTGTTTTTGGCTTGAACACAATCTTATTAATGAATCATGATTATAGCTATATTTACTTAAATCGTACGGTATCCGATCGATATTTATTTATAATATTTTACTAAATTATTTTTTATGTTTTGCTCGGATCAATATATATATATCGAAAGCATCGATGATACGAAACTGAAAAGAGAGGTTGCATTGTATGTCGACCATACTAAACCTGTCGAGATCAGCACAGATGCGATACGGTTAGCACAAAAGAGACACTCACAGGTTTCGTTCCGTTCCACAACGCGAAAGGTATCTTAGCGATCAACATGGAAGTTGATTTTACTGCAACCTTCTCGCATTGTGGGATGCAAATGGGAAATGGTGTCTGTAGATTCGTTTCTTTTGCTTCTCAAGGAAGACAGTAATCAAACCCAATGGTACAGTTGGGCGTCCCGACACTCAAAAGAATATTGCAAGAGAGAGGGATCGCACGCACTCACCGTCAACTCTCTCTCTCTCTCTCTCTCTCTCTCTCCCTCTCCAATGCGCGTACGAGAAGTGGGAAGGCTGGAATTTGCAGACGTCAAAAGCCTCGTCGGCTTCCTTCCATCCAAGCAGAAAAAGAGAGAGAGAGAGAGAAGCTTACAGATCAATCTCTCTCTCTCTCTCTCTCTCTCTGTGTGCGCCGCTTGCGTGGCTGAGTTGACTGTCTTCTCTGATACTTTAGAGAGAGAAAAAGTGGCTGACGGCAAAGGTTGTGCTGAACAGCTGAGATTACGCTGATACATAGCATAGCAAACCATGGAAAGGAAGAATTGGCCGACATATCTGAGTGTTAGTTTCAGTGAGAAGGGATTAGAGAGAGCCTTTTATCTCTCATCATTCCTGAGAAATTAGAGTTATTGCATGGATGTGTGGGTCGAACTTTTCCTTATTTTCTAAAGAGATTGATGCACGGACGAATAAGTTCATAGATCACATCGCATCCCGAAGCACAGTGGTGGAGTGGGTGGTCTACAATTTGATTCTATTACTGTTCCATGCTATTGTTCCTTTCTCGAGGCAAACAGCTCTCTTCATATTATATTTATAATACAAACGATATTTGAGATATATATATATATATATATATATATATATATATATATATAATTTAAATTTTATTTTCAGGATTTAAAATTTAAAAATAAAATAAAATCTACCCTCCAAAAAATATTAAAATAATTATAGTCAATGACAACAATAAGAAAATCATAAAATTTTAATTATTTAGATTTGACTACATTGATATTTTGTCATCATTGATTTTTGAAAGAGCCATATAATTTAAGAAGTTGTCAATGATAAAGATATCAAAATAAATAATAACAACAATAAAATCATATATATAATTATATAATTATATATACATATGATTTTATTGTCATTGAGAAATGCAAAAAATCATATAATTATATATACATATGATTTTATTGTCATTGAGATATGTAAAAATTCATATATATATATATATATATATATATATATATATATATATATATATATATATATATGACAAAGCATTAAAGTTGGAAATATATACATCAAGGCTAAACATCAAAATTAAGTAATTCACCGATTATAATTTGAAAAGGCAAAGACTCAAGAGGAATTATAGGAACTAAGCACACCATGATGAAGTTATTTCCACCCTAATATTTCAGAGTACAATTCAGGTCTTCCTGCTCCAACTGGCTTTCATTTCCAGAACAAACCTAGCCCATTTGGCAAGGTTTGGCTCAGTTAAAATACATAAAACACTGATTAGGAGTAAAGATCTTGCAAACAGGACAGTAATGAGATGAGATTTACATGGAAACAAAGTGGAAGAAGAAGCAAAACCCACACAAGCAAGCACAACAAGATAGTCCATATACAATGACCTCTGCAAACCAGAGAGTAGAGCAATAGACTCACTTGACCCTGCAGGCTGGAAGAGCACCTGGCGAACATTGCACATTCGGAGTCGGCTTGCAGCTGATGCTGCTTCCTGCAAGCCTGTGGTGCACCCTGCGATCGGGAAGCACACTACTTCCGAGTGCCTGAAATGAGCTCTCGCTGCCGCTGCTCGCTTGCAGAGGCTGGAGTGTCTCCACGACGTCGCTCATAAGAGGCCTTGCTTTTGGGTTGTGGCTCAAGCAGTAGTATGCCAGGCTACAAGCCTTCTGGGCAGCTCTCACCGAGTACTGATCGTCCAACCTGGGGTCGAGGACTTGGAGCAGCTTCCTCTTGTCGTTGAGCTTGGGACGAGCCCAATCGACCAAGCTCTGCTCCTTGCTTGGGCGTGTCTTGTCCACGGATCGCCGTCCTGTCAAGAGTTCGAGAAGGACAACTCCAAAGCTGTAAACATCACTCCTGGCTGTCAAGTGACCTGCTCATGCCATGGATATGATCATGGTGAAAACTAAAGGCAATCGAAAAGAAAGTCAAAGTAATGAATCATATACTGCCAATTTAACCATCATAGAGATTCGGTAAGTGTAAAAACTACTCAGTTATCAAAACCTAATATTATAGCATATAAAACTGAAGTTAGGACATGGAAATAATTCCAAGTTGTCGATGTCAAGATGCAGGACCTGTCATCACATACTCGGGCGCAGCATAGCCATAGGTTCCCATTACCCTTGTCGATACATGGGTCTCATCACCCTCTGGACCAGCCTTTGCAAGACCAAAATCGGAGAGCTTGGCTGTGTAATCCTGAGCAGATGAAGAAGAGAAACAGCAAATCGAAGTCAAATGTCAAAATCCACAAATGAGTCACGAAACATTTGCATAAGAAAAAAGAAAACTATAAATTGTAAGGAACCGAAGAGAAGGACAATACTTAACAGAGTCCAATAAAATATTTGAAGTCTTAAAATCTCGATAAATAACAGGTCTTTCAGCATTATGAAGGAAAGCTAGCCCTTTAGCAGCACCAAGTGCAATTGACATTCTTGTGGCCCAAGATAGTGGAGCCGCTGTCTCTGAAAGAAGAGAAGTCAGGTTGAGATGGAAAATTATTAGTACGTAATAGTATAATAAGAAGTTTTTTTAATGAGGACAGAAAAAAAAAAATTGTAAGTTACAGACTAAAATCGGCATCAATCACAAAAGTGCAATTGGTCGAGCATCAAAGAGAACTGAAATAGCTGAAAGAAAATAAAGCTGAAATCTTCGACAGAAGAAACCGAAGGAAATTTTCAACCAAGGAAATCCCTGCTTATGCCCTCTCCATGATAGACATCAAGATTGCTTATGTGCATACAACTTATAGTAGTCAAAGATAACTAATTTGCAAGCCATTTGCAATTACACATGCTTCAATCCCAAGGTCCATTCACCTTGTTAATACAATGTCAATAAATTAATTCAACAAAATGTAAAATATAAAATTACTGCACAAAATTATATGTTTGAGAAATGACCCAGTCTTATTGTATAGCATAACTAGGAATGGCACATAAACTAGCATTACCCTTCAAAGACCTTGTTATATTGACTTCAAAGATATTTACGATACAAAAAGATACCATTAAAATAGGAGAAAGTAGTACAAGAAGAAGCCTAAAGAAACCTCTTTTCTAGTCCTTTAGTTTCAGCTTCAATTTCTAATCATACCTCTCATGCGCTAACATCTGCACATTCATAGTCAAGTCATGTGGAAGAAGAAAATTTTATAGGAATCATGACCATCTTTGACCATCATGTTTCAATCACCATTTTGTTCCTTGGTAAGCAAGTTAAGTTGTTGGCTAACTAACAGTAACACCGAAAAAAAAAAGCAATCCATTCAATTGAATTCATGAATCAATCCCTCGATAACTTTTGTCAGCCAACCATCTATTAATCAATTGCAGAATAAATATTCAGATGACAAAAGGCAGGAACTTATGATATATAACAGCAAGTATTTTATCATTCATAATTAAAAATCTCCTACAAAAATTCTACTTAATATAACCAAGAATTTCTAGATACCCTAACCGTCCTTTAGGATATATTAAGTATGGTCACTAAAAGTTTATACTGAAACTAAATACAAACATGTATCCTTTTTAAGCATATTAGAACATTGAGAAACTTAACAAATTTATCAAGGGCGTAAGAATGCATCAAACAACAAAGATACATACTAAAGTAGAGAAACAAATGGTAGAATTAAGTACTTCGAAACAAGTGGTTCTCCAGACTTCCACGGAACATGAACTCGTAGACGAGCAGCCTATGATCATCTTCGCAGCAGTATCCAATCAACTTCACTAGATTAGGATGCCTCAATTGTCCTAGAAAATTAACCTCTGTCTGATAACACAAGAACGAAAGTCAAACTCAAAAAGAACTCTGGTGTATAGTCTTGAAATTGCTCGATAACTTAGGGCAGAGATATATCTTTTTGTGTGTACATTTGATATTGATGGAACCAAGTCAATGCAAATAAGCATGCCAACCACTGATGAGACGGTGAATTAATTGTAGCTTAGGAGACAATAATCCAGATAAACTATATAGCTTTCACAAACCAACTTACAAGCCATTCTCTGTGTCCCTGGTGACCATCCTTGTCGAGGACCTTGACGGCAACCGGAAGCGATTTGAGACCCACTCTCACATTTTCGTCTATATAGCCCTTGTAGACAGTGCCAAACCCTCCTTCACCAAGAACATAATCCGCCCGGAAGCTTTTTGTAATAGTCTCAAGCTCGAACAATGTGAACGCAATCACATCAGTGTATATTGCAATGTTTCTCGAATCCTCAATGTGTCGAGGGGTCGAAGGATCACTTATGTCTGAGAGAGTTCGAGTATGTTTTTTCTCTGGAGGGGCATTCTTAACAGGTATTTGGAACATTTGAAGCTGCTGAACTGCACAAAAAATGTTGCTAAAATGATAAAACCATCTACTTGAATTAAAGTACAGCTTCCACATAATTACAAATTCTTCCATCATGAAATAAGAATATAAGTTGATTGCTTAAGAGACTATATCACATTTAGAATGATGATATGGGCAACTGGAATTACAATGACAACAATCTTGAAACATTTCATTCTTACTTCCACTAACAAAATTATTCTGGCCTTCTAACAAAGAGAGAGAGAGAGAGAGAGAGAGAGAGAGAGAGAGAGAGAGAGAGAGAGAC